TCTTTCTTTCTTTCTTTCTTTCTTTCTTTCTTTCTTTCTTTCTTTCTCTCATGAGTAAAGGTTGTCCTTGAACTCCTGATTCTGCTTCTGTGTGATTGTGTGTGTGTGAGTGTATGTATGTGTGAGTGTGTGTGAATATGAGTCTGTGTGAGTGTGTGTATACGTGTATGTGTGTGAGTGTATGTGAATGTGAGCATGTGTGAATATAAGTTTATATATGTGTGTGAGTATGACTGTGTATATGCATGAGTACAGTTTTCATTGAACCTTTGATAATATATTCTTCTTTCTTGTTTACTCTGAATGCATTTCATGTTCTTGACTGAACTGGTTGCTAGAAACTGCTATGGAATTATCCTGTTTGGCTTAAAAGAGTCAAAACCAACTTCCTATTCTGCCTCTGCCTACATCAAGATATGAAGTATTCAAGCCACAAGTACCCACTGTCATGAACTCTGTTCTTCTCCTTCTTCACAGTGCTGGACCATACCCTTTTAAACTGTGAGCCAAAATAAATTTCTCCTTCTCAAGTTCAGGTATTGAACCACAGCAAAAAGAACTAATATTGAATAGAAAATTGGTACTGAGAAATGGAGACATATATGTGACAAACTTTTAACATGTGATTCACAGCTATTCTGAACTGGTTTATGGAAGGAATGTTGAAGATTTTGGAGCCGTGGGCTTGAGAAATTCTGGAATGCAATAAGCTGAACTCAATGGGGCCAGTCATGGAAGTCTAGAACACTTATAGAAATGCCAATAGAAATGTAGACATTAAATACTGTGTTCATGTGGTTTCAGGGGATAGCAAGGACTCTGTTGAGAACTGGATTGTAGACCATTCATGTTACATTTGGCAAAGACTTTGGCTATACTTCATGTCCTGAATACATAATGAGGCTAAAATAAAAGATAATGGACTAAGTTGTGTGGTGAAAGGTATTCTAAGATAATTTAACACCCAAGCTGTGGAGTATTTGTTGTGTTATTTACCAAGATGTACAGTAAGAGGGAGAAAGAGCAGAGAATGGGACAGAAAACTATGCAAAATGTGCAGCTAAGCAAGGAAAAGAACACAAACCCAGTTTAAGTTGTGAACAGCATTTATTTGGACAGGTGTCTATAATTGTTGAAGTGATTCATGCCAGGAAGGAGAGACTTTGGACTTTACACTAGGAAAATAAGAAAGGTGCCTAGAAGGCAAGACTCTCCTCATTGAGGAGGGTAAGATGGATCGTAACAAAAATTCATTTGAAAGAAGGATGTCTGAAAAGACAGAACCTTCAAGGTACCCTGCTGGAAAATAGTTGTCCAGGGAAGTACCCTCCCAGGTTCAGTCTCAAAGCCACACAAAGCATCTTGGTCCAAGATGGCTACCTAACCTGGAGTTGTTCGTGCAGTATTGGTTTTACAGGCTTGCAAAATGTTGGGGTTATGGAGTCTTGGAGGCTTGCACCAAAATTCTAAAAAACTGCTTAAGCCAGGCAATAAGACACAGGATTAGATTCCTTAAATGGAACTCCTGAGTAAGGCTGTGTGTGAAGCTTTGAAGATGAAGCCTATATTGTACTGAATATTGATGATGCTACAAACATGGATCCCCTTTCAAGGAAAGCAGGGAGCACCAAGTGGTGAAACAGAATGGGAGGGAAGAGGCACAGGTGATACTATCATGAATACCAGATGCTGGACATGGAGCTGTCAGGTTTGGTCATGTTTGGCCTCTTGTGTTTTGGCCTGATCTTTCCTTGCTATCTTCCTGTTACTATCTTTTGAATGGCAATGTTAACTCTGTACCATTGTATATTGGAAGGATGTTAAATTCCTCATTATCATCATCAACATCATCATCATTATTATTATTATTTTGTTTTACAGAGGGTTGTAGGTAAGCTATTGCCTTTAGTCTTAGGGGAAACTTTGGACTTTTTAGCAATGTTGAAAATGTTAAGACTATGGGAACTTTTGGAGTCAGACTGAATACATTTTGCCTTGTGGGATGGCCCTGAACTTGAGATGGATGTTACAGTTTGAGTGCAAAATGTCTCCCCTAGGCTCATGTGCTCAAATACTGTGTCACAGGTGGTGGTGCTGTTTTGAGAGGATATGGAACCTTTAAGATATGGAGCCTCACTTAAGAAATGGATCCTCAAGGTAAGGGCCTTGGAGTTTTGTAACAGACCAGCTTCCTGTTCTGTCTCTGCTTTTGGTTTGACAGTATGTGAAGGTGAAGGTGCTAGCCATATGCTCCTAACACCACAGACTCTGCCATGGCTCACCATTGTGGACTATAGCCCTTAAATTTGTGAGCCAAAAATAAATGTTTCAAGAAAAAGGAGAAGGAAGAAGGGAATGAGGAGGAGAAGGAGAAGAGGAGAAAGACAAGGAAAAAGAGGAAGAGCAAAGGGAGGAGCGGAAACAGGAGGAGGAAGAAAAGGAGGAAGAACAGGAGAAGAAGGAGGGCGCAGAAAGATGAGGAGAAAAGAAAGAGCATAAGGTAGAGTAGTAGGATAATCAGGAGAACGAAGCAGAAGAAAGAGGAAGAGGAGAAACAGAAAGAGGACAAGC